TAAATATTAAAAGTCATAAAGAAGCTGCACTTGCGAAGAAGCGGAACTTTGAAATGCAAATAACTACGCTGTAGTTTAGGAATAACTACGTATATTTTGCCTTCGGTTTAAATTTCTGAATAAAAATTGCCTGAAACAAATCTGACATTATTCAGGTAGGTATATAAAATTTTAATTTAAACAGAATTCAAGAAATTTAGAATGTAGTCATACTCTGTTATGATTTATTTAAAAAAAGTTTAAAAGCGGTTTAACTTACAGTGAGTTTATGCAACAACTGAAATTCATTGACGGATATTACCAACCTGCTAAGTTATTTTGCTTGCCATAGCCACTGTTATACCATACTGTTACCAATATTTCTTTTAGTAGAATTGTATACACTGATGTTGACGAAGACGATTTGGAGTGGCGGTATAAGACAATTCTTTACCGATAACCATATTCCATTTCGTGAATATCATAGTCCGTAACTTTAAAGTATTAAAAATGCGCCTGCTAAACCAGAAAGGTCCAAGTCGATTATGTATTGAACTGTTATGGAATCTTATGAGGAAGTTCCCCATCTGGTTGCAAAATAGCAACATTTAGTAACATGAAATAATTTAATAGCAGCATTAAGTAACACGATGTTATAGTTAAATAAATCCGAGGGAAATATTTTATGCAAAGCTATTCACATTGTGGGACTCTGAATCACAGTTACATAATCTGAATGCATTAACTCTGACCTAAACACATTTACCACAAAGGGGCCGGCCCAAACATTTTTTTTATTACGTTTCAGAAACCGTGTCGAGAGTTCATGCTAAAAAAGTTAAATTAAAACGTGAAGTGTAGAATAAATTTTATGCTTTATATGAATGTTTAAGATATGCAGAATTCTAGGAGTATATTTTATGAACATAACGAGACTTTTCATCTTAGTCCTCAGAGTGACCACGCATCTGCATTTGATTCTTGTTCAAGGATAGATGTAGGCATCCACTTACCATCAAGTGCTCATTTTCCGTTATTGTTTCTATAAAAAATGCTCTCTACTATGGAAGAGAACCATGTACACCAATGAACTATACAGTCAGTTTCTTTTTTATCTACTACTACTTCTTATCTTCACGCACAATCCCTGACGGGGTAGCCAGAGAGAACAGATCGCCAAGTGTTACGATCCTTACATACCTCTTTCGCTTCTTTCAGATTCATTATCTTCTTCATACATGCACGTCTAGGTATCCGAGTACTCTTGACCCTACCCTCTTCGAGCAATTTGCTCACATGGTCTTCGAAAGTTAGTCTCAGTCTACCTAGACACCTTTTAATATTAACTTTCGCGCTATATATTTTCTTCACCATTCGGTCTTCACTCATTCGCTCAACGTGCCCAAACCACCGAAGCACGCCCTTATTAATTTTTGTGATAAGGTCATCTTTCAAACCTGCCATATTGCGAATCTCTTCGTTTCGCTTTCGGTCGGCCATGGTAACGCCGCACATTTTACGAAGAGGTCGCATCTCCACTGCATTCAACTTTCTTTTATGATTCTTCTGGCATACCCAGGTTTCGCTGCCATATAACAAAACTACTTCTACTTATTTTTGAATGTGAAATTTGTATGGATTTTAGGATATTTGTATGTCTGTTACTCAATCACTCAAAACAACTGAACGAATTTTGGTATAGTTTAGCAATATCAAAAACCAAATTAATATATAGGCTATATCTTGTTCTATGCTAAATTATAGTTTTTTAATATATGGTGCTAAAATTATACCAATAACCTTTCATTTGTTTGCGTGCGCTACATTATTTTTAATTGTTAGAACTTAAAAATATACAAACGAATAGCACTTATTATCAATACATACATACATACATATAATCACGCCTCTTTCCCGTAGGGGTAGGCAGAGACCAGTTCTTTCCACTTGCTTCGATCCTTACATACTTGTTTTGCTTCGTCCACTTTCATTATTACCTTCATACATGCTCTACGGTTTAGGGTACTCTTGACCTGGCCTTTTTTCAAGACGTCCCTGATTTGGTCTAGAAATGTCCGCCTAGGTCTACTTCTTCCAACACTTTCATTCACACTCGCCTTATACACTTTTTTCGTCAATCGTTCTTCATTCATTATTTCGACATGGCCAAACCATCTCAGCATACCTTTCTCAATTTTTGTCACTACATCTTCTTTCAGGTAATCTGATACCGATAATTATCAATATTTTTAAAAAAATCCGCAAATCCTTTCCTACTTTTTGCTTATACATAACAAAAAGCAGTAGCTGCAACTTTTATTTAAAATAACTTCAGTAATAAAAATTCGTCGGCTTTGATTGAGCGCAAACGGAGCCGTGGGTAAAACTAGTAAAGAATAAGGGAAGAAAATTCGCAATGTTAAAACAACTAATACCTATACAACAAGTATTAACTGAAAGAGCTTATCTCAGAGGCAATCTTTTTTCAGATGCTTGAAAAACTAATTAGTAATTTTGCGAAATGTGAAGGACAATTTCCTGAAAATTTTATCGCGGTCTTTGAAAAAGCTTTGAGCTGATTGCATACTGATGCCATGATTTCAACTATCGAGTTGCATCGTCGATCTAGGGGTTAGGTTTTTATGACTGGAATAAATAAGAGATGTTAATTATAATAATGTAATAACCTTTAGTTCAAATGTCGTATACGCAAGCACAGGTACAATTTCTATTACCTCACAGCCCAATAAAATACCACCTCCATTTAGAAGTCATTAAAAAAAGATAAAAATTAAACATACATTATAGGTAAATTAAAGTTACATTTCTTAGAGGTTTACGAGGCAATTAGTCTGCTGGGTTCTTCCAATGAATGTTAGCAGACTTTACATGTCCTCTATATATTTTATTCTGCCGATCTTTTTCAAGGCTCCGTGGTCTAGTGGCTTAGCGATGAGTTACGGCACTGAGGGCCGCGGGTTTGAATCTCGCACTGCCTCCATGATACAGGAGACAATCCTAGTTTAGGGATAACGTTTTTATTATCATATAATCTGCAGATTTCCTCATTATATTTCCTTCACAGCCGAGCGCGTGATTAATCAGCACCGGTTGGAATCGAACCTCGGTTGCTCGACTACAGTGAAATCTACGATAGGCACTTATCCCCTGAACTACTAATAACATTATATTATATTACGTAGTAAATATAATTACTTATGAGGGCGGCAAATATCCTTCAGTGCGTGAGGGTGTAACCCGATCTTAGACGTGACTTGGTTAAAAAACTGATTTATATACGACTCACGTCCCAGTTTCAGTTAGCGGCGTGTTCCTTTAGTGACTCATTTGTAATTAAAAGAAAAAGAATATGTTTATTCTTATACTCAGTGTTTCGTACTAAATTCTTCAAAAGTGCACACTAGAACCGTATACATATTGAGTAAATAATTTCACTTTAGTCCCAACTAGCGACATCTAGTGATCATTATTAGCACTCATTGATGGATTAAAAGCGTCCCATGATACAAAGAAAGGTTTTTTTACTTAAGAATTTTTTATTTTTCTTTTTTAATACGAAAGCATTTAATCAATTATAGCAAAAAAAAAGATAACAAACTTTTCGGCTTCACAAAATTCACTTGTTAAGACAACTTTAAAACATTGGAAAGCCTTTAAGGAAACTTTTAATGGGCTTGTTATCGTTTCTCAGTTCATTCTGCCTTCATATATATGTGGCCAAATCATTATCTTGTACTTTGTCTTTGTCTTTGTAGGTTGTATGATGTTTTCTTCCTCGTATGTCTTCGGAATAATTTTCCTTCTTATTTCTCGGACATGCAGGGGGCCTCATGGGCATTGACTAACGAGTCAGTATGACGGGACAAACACGGTTATTAAATAATATGACTATAAATAATTTAGTTAAGTGGATGCTGTGACCCACCATCTAAACATATGATTGATTAAGAATCAAATCGCTAGTGATCGCTGATGTTTTACGACCTGCTTTACTTATAATAGTTGAAAAATAGTATGTTCAAGTCTCAAAATTTAGCACAATAAAACAGAATTGTAAGTCGTAGACGTAATATTTTTTAGGTATATCTTATTTTAACCATATATTTGTTTTAAGAAATCCATACCATGCCCGTCTGCCAGAAAGGGAAACCATTAACCTCCGCTACAGTTGACTGCTTCGCCAATATAAACGACTCTGTGACTTTCGAGTACAATGTGTTTATGTATAAAAAAAAAAAACTCTTTCTGTTAACACAACTTTGGTTTTTAATATTAAATATGTCACAATACACGAAAAAAAATAAGTTAGTATTAGTTGTTTACTATTTTTATAAAACTAAAATGACAATCGAACTGACTGTTCAGCTAATAATGGTAAGCGGTGAATCCATATACACTTGCAACCGACTTCAAATATAAAAAAAAAACTACAGATGTGTTGTTGTCACCTTTTAGAAATCAGGTGGATAACCTCACAGCCTGTTAATGTAGTGGCTCTCTTTTATCTCAATCGTTAATGGACGTGGAGGAGGCGATAAAGGTGTATCAGGATCATGTCAACTGGATGTTTGTAGTCTCTGAGTACCCCTCTCGCTGACAGGACTTTACACAATTTTTTTTATCGGATAGGGGGCAAACGAGCATGCGGCTCACCTGATGGTAAGTGACTACCGCCGCCCATGAACAACCGCAACATTAGGGGAATTGCAGATGCGTTGCCGGCCTTTTAAAAAGGAGTAGGCTCTTTTCTTGAAGGTCCCTAAGTCGTATCGGTCCGGAAAAATCGCTGGTGGTAAACTATTCCACAAGGAAGTTTTGCGAGGAAGATCCATGCATGTATAGTTTTAAGTAAGGTCAACTAAAACAAGATTTTTTTATTTACTCAACAGCCCCGAAGGAGGGCAATATTTTGAGTTTATGTATGTACATATGTATATATGTGCGTCTATTATGTGTATGTATGGCTTGATTATAATATATTGACTTTCATATACAGAGTGTTGATTCGTCTTTTAACCCGTAAATCAAATATTTATCATTTTATTATAAGGCGCTGCGCAAACCTAGACCCTTTTGTGTCTTATGTGGGATACAAACTACCAACGAATATTTTATTTTCATGTACTCAATATGAAATCAGCTCTTATTTGCGCAAAAAACAAAAAAAACAAAAGACATCTTTTTGTGTCCAGTTGCTTCCACTTGACACAACGACCGCCAGTCAAAAAGTGTTCGATGTAGGTAACTGGAAACTTTAATTCGTCAGTTGTAGACACAAGCAGCACAAAGCAAATTTCTTTACAAGTGTACGGCGCTGACGTTGGCGTGGTTGATTTGCCTGTAAATATTAACGGCGACGACGTCTACGTTAACGTGTAATAAACAAAGAAAGCATAGTGAATGTTCCTTCATCGACATCCACGGTGAAACTGACGGAAAACAAGTAACAAATTGTTACCAGTGTCCAGAAGTAGCAACCGGCGCCTGTGTCCGATTGCTGCTACCGAATACACTAAGTACGGGTGTCAGTGATGGTGTGCCGTGTCAGTAACAAAAACTGTCCACATCTGCGCAGCACCTAAATTAAAAACCGACGTCAAAACTTCCAAATAATAGCTTCTGAAGTCGGTGCTAATACAAATTGTATCGACGAATAACGCCATTAAGTGGAAATTATTTTTTAATTTTAAAATCGGATTGTAATTCTCATTCAAAGTTTTATTTTAAAGTTGTGGAAGTGACATAGGTTAAATTTATTACACCTAAACGTAACCAACCGCAAGCGTCTGGACTTAGTTGGAGGTGGTATAACATAGATCAGGCTTTAGCCGTAACATATTATCATCTGTGCATTTATCATAACCCTCTCCCGATTGCTGATGCATAGTACATCATTCAAATGAAAACCTTGTTGCGGAGTCGGTGATGAGTTCATAACGTATATACATAATGAAGACTCCGTGTCGCAGTGGCTTGGTAATGAGTCGCGGCGCTGAAGGTCGCGGGTACGTACGCGGGTAAGTATTTGTGTGACCTATAAATAATTTTCCAGGTCTTGATGTTTGCCCTTGTGAAATTGCATCCACGATACAGGACAAAATCCTAGTGTTGGTGTAACGTTATTATATTAAATAAAATAAAAATAAGTTAATAAGTAAACGAGCATCATGATCTGTTGAGATTTTTTTCCAATTATATTTTTTCAATGATATCTTTTCTAGAATAAGTGCGACAAATTAGCTCACAGTCCACCTGATGGTAAGGTTATGTTGTGGCCCATAGACATCTACATCCATCCTCGATTAACTTATTACTCAACAAATCAGATGCCCCTGAGGAGTAAGATAGAATGCCTAATTTCCGTTCAAAAGGGTCTCCGGGTCTCCACACTCTCTTACTTTACGCTTAATGCTGCTGTGTTTCGCATCGTTTTCACGCTAGTGAACTGTGAGAGCGTGATGCCTCCCCGCCAAACCGACTCACGAGTTAACCCGAATTGTGCTACAACCCTGATATAATTGCATCATGGCTCTAACACATGGAAATTTGAGATATGGTAGTAAATTTTCTTACTATGTATGTGTCTGTACTCTTACTCTTGTTATTAATTAATTTAACAGTAAATTGTAATAAAGGAGCGACAAAAAATTTTCGGGGAGATATAAATATCGTAGAGATGGCGCGTTAAGCTCATATGTTATTGGGAAAAGATCCAAGATATATAAAAATATAGCTTGTTGTTTTGTAAACAACTATGTAAGTCACACAAGTCGAAGATATTAATGATGGAGGAGGATATATACAAAAGGAATCGGATTATTATAGTGAATCTGTAAATTGTTATCATCATCATTAATTTGACAGTATCTCAGTAGCTTAAGACGGTGAAGCGCACTAACTTAACAAAAACCTATTTACTCTTGCCTTGAAGACAACTACATTGTAATCGGAACTTATTCCACTCCTTTGCTGTGCGCATGACGAACGATGTAGAAAACCGTTTGATTCGAATGCATGGTAAGCCAACAATGTAAGAATGGAGACTGGCTTTCGCCAGTCATTCACGTTTGATTGTCTCATGGTGGAAGGGAGAGGGAGGAATTGAATCATGCAGTTCCTGCGCACACTCTCCGAAATGCATTCTGTAGAAAACTGAAAGGCTTGCTACTTTGCACCTATGGTCAAGGCTGCTAAGATTGGTTTTACCCAGAGTCGAGTCACTAATAAGCCATTTAGTATGCCTTTGCATTGAGTCCGAAGCTGATAGGTGGCATTTTTAAATACAAATCCATATATAGCAGTAGTACTCCATGCACGACTGGTCTTGCGCTTTATAAAAAGTAAGTAGCTGTCCCAGCGTGAAGTACCGTTGCACCTTTGCAAAGACCCCTAGCTTCCTTGCAGCTTTCAGTTTTCGGCATTAATGAACCGCCTGAATTTCAGGTTTCAGGATATCTCAACCTCCAACAACTGAATGCGGTTGGTGTATTCCAGGGCTACATTTCGGAAAGAAGGAGCCAAGGGGAGCTGGCTCCTTTTTGCAGTGAAGAGACGCGCTTGTGTTTTAGAATTATAGTCTATTAAAGACCACTGCTGAACATAGGCCTCCTCTATAAATAGTCTCATATTGGGGTATTTGCCATAGTGGCGAAGCTTGGCAAATGGGCTGGCAATCGCAGTTTTTTATTCTTAGTCGTTATTAGGAAAACCCTGCTGCCCATCTCCTGATTTGTTATCCTCTGTCACATTTTACGACGCCCACTAGATTAGTTGGGGTAGTGGATATTTTTACACGGGTACTTCACAATATAGGTATGCCTGTAGCGCTGCAGCTAAATGTAAAATTGCAGACAAAACAACCGTAATACCGAGTCTTCATGACGACATTTAACGGGTAAACTTAGGAAATTGTGCATTACTATACTAAAATACATAACATTAGAAAATCCAATTGTGCATGTTTTAAGCGCAAGCTTAATAAATAACCTTATAACTATCCTTCAAATTTTTTGATATCTTTATGTCATCATAACTTCAATTAAAAATAAGTTTAGAAAATTCAAAAGTGCACGACTCATAATGCCTAATGATAGTAAAAAAATTAAAAAGAAAGGTAAATTGTAGTTCAATTCGTCAATGAGTTCCAGTAGCATTCAACGAAGTACACCTTGAAGTCAGTCCGTCAAGTCCGTAGGGTGTCATCATAACTTTCAAAACGAGCCCAAAATCTGCACATCTAGTTCTCCTCGTCAAAGAGTTCCAGGAGCAGTTATCAAAGTACACTTCTAAGTCACTCCGTTAAGTCCGGAGTTAAGGTCTATTCATAATTAATAAAACGAGCCTAAACTCGGCACATATAGTTCTACTCTTCGATAAGTTCCAGTAGCAGTCATCAAAGTACACTTTCAAGTCGCTCTATCAAGTCCGGGGGTAATGTCTCATCAGTTCTCCTCGTGGAGGAATTTCAGTAGCAGATCCCGACACACCTTCAGGTCTATAAAGTCCAAGACGTATATTTATATATAAATCCTTTGTGCTTTTAGCGAAACAAAATGTTGTAATAAAAATCTGTGATTATAAAGTAATAATAATATCTTATCTTGGTCAAGCATGTATGTTTTTGCACGTTGTAGAGCCATGCTGCAGATATATTAGTAGTATAGTTGTAGCATGAATGGGTCGGCTCGACCGGGGAACGACCACGCTCTCACAGAATACCAGCGCAAAATATGTGTTGCGTATGGTGAGTGTAGAGAACTGGAGACCCTTTGCACTGGAAACGAGGAATTCCATCTTAGTTCTCAGGGGTAACGAAGCTCCTACATTCGGATTTGATAGATGTAGATGTTTATGGGCCACAACAACCACTTTCCATGAGGTGAACTATATGCCCGCTTATCACCCTTATCCTGTAAAAAAAAATCTCATCTCCTAAAGATTTAAGAATTTGTCATAATCGCCACGCTTTTCAGGTGGACTAGCGACCGCTCTACAGACGTCTTTAGCTTATGGTGCTACTTACTGTCGTCGCTTTTTATATTTTACTTACTGATCAGGCGACCATGTTTCCTAAAAAAAATTATTAAATTCACAATAAAAAAAATTGAGGGTCACTTACCAGGATAAAAACTTTCCTATCTCTCAAGTTGGACCAAACTGCACACATTGTGAAACATTTCATTGAAATCAGTTCAGTAGTTTAGGAGTTCATCGCGGACAAACAATGTGACACGTAATTTTTATGTATAAACACTAGACTAAGGAAATGTTACAACAACAGTATATAATCAAAGGTATGAAATCCCTTAAAAGAATCATCAAGAACCAACGCAATTATTAAGAACCTTACTCCCATAATGAAGTTGGTTAGCGTTAATTTCTAAACACGAACTAAAGAAATTTTATTTTGTTTCGTTTTAACACCGAAAATGAAAACATTTCTTATATTAACGTGAACACTACACATTCAATAAAACAATTTTTACGGATTTCCCACATATGTATATATTTTGTAATTATTCGAATGATTTTATCAAAATAAATAAGATATAAAAAAATTGAATGCGATGAAATCTGTAAAAATAATTTTATTCAACTGGTCATGTAATTTTAAGTCGTGTTCTCGCAAAAAAGTTTAATGATATACCTTTTAACAACATACACCTTCAATGTTGTTGACATAGGATATATTCAAATGACCTCGACACGATTTACGGAAGCGGTAAGTACCTACTTATGCTCGCTCTAACCGTAACGAAACGTATTGGGAAAACAATACTGAAAGCATCAAATACAAAAATGAATTCAAATCTTTATAACGATAGTAAGAAGAGGGAATATTCGAGAAAACCCAAAAAGTATGTCATTGGCTGCAAACCTTCCGAGTGATGATGTCATAATTTGTATGGTATAATTCACGAGTAAGTAGGAAATATGTCGAGTTAGGTACTAAATATCAGTTTTATTTTTATTATTTTGTTCGCCTGGGACAGTTTTGTATTTGTTTTGGCTGCATCATTGGTCTAGTGGTCGTAAACGCGGTGCTGAGCTCTGAATCCTGGGTTGGGCCAAATTATATATATTAATCGAGGATACTTGTAGGTGTCTATGGGCCATACTATCCATTTAAGATCCGGTGGACGGTGCGCATGTTTTTCATCATGGTTTGTATAAAAATCTTGAGCTTACTCCATTTAAAACGCCAGTAATTGCCTTGGTGTTGCAGTTGTTCATGGGCGGTGGTCAACACTTGCCATCAGGTGAGCCACATGCTGTTTAGCCCCTTTTCTATAAGAAAAAGAAAAAACACAGTTCATCTAAAAAAAACTTTATTTTTATCCATGCGCTTGTATCTTGAACCTGTGGTTATTTGAATGGTAAAGCGAACTCGGTGCGAATGAATCGGTAACGATTCTAAGATCTGACAACATGTGTCCTCGATGGTCCCATTCGATGATTTTGCTATCTTGCTGAGTCGTTTCTTATGCCATTATTAATTGGTTTATTACATATTCTACGAGAAATATGTTTGCCGCCCTGACATAAAATATAGCAATATTACATCAGGATATTATATAACTAGGAGTTTTCTTCCTCGCACAACGTTTTTGTGAAATGTTTTTGCCATATTTGCCACGCAGAGTAGGCGGTTTGCCAACCGCAATATTTTTGTTTTGAGTTATAATCAGAAAGGTCCTGCTGCCCATTTCCTGTATTAGTTTCCATCTGTCGCCTCTTACGACACACACGGCCATGATATTGGGTACTTAGTAATTCTTAAAACGCACTACACGGAATTTCTTTCTTATAGAATTTAAATTTTATACTTTTTTATGTGTGATTGTGTGTGTCCCCGGCGGCCCCGCTATTCCTGGCTACGGTGGCGACCATGGTAACGGCGGGGCAGGGGGTGCTAAGAATCTCCGGTGGAGGTTCGGTTGCCACCTTAGACGACTCGACCTGGCAACGTACAACGCACGCACCCTGAGGACTGACGAGAAGATCGTGGAGCTGGAAGAAGAGATAGACAAGTTGCGCTGGCATATTATAGGATTATCCGAAGTCCGAAGAGAGGGGGAGGACACGGTAATCCTCGAATCCGGCAACTTGCTCTATCACCGGGAGGGCGACCATCTGTCCCAAGGAGGTGTCGGATTTATCGTCCACAAGTCTCTCGTTAACAACGTTGTAAAGATCGGGAGTGTGTCGACGAGGGTTGCGTACCTTATACTCAGAATCACCAAACGGTATTCGCTGAAGGTCATACAGGTTTACGCACCAACCTCGGCACACCCCGATGAGGAGGTGGAGGAAATGTATGAGCATATCTCTAGAGCCATGCATTCCTCCAAAACCCAATATACGGTGTTAATGGGAGACTTCAATGCAAAACTAGGCACAAGAGAGAACGGTGAGCTGAAAGTGGGGAAATTCGGAATAGGGCAACGGAACCCAAGGGGCCAGCAGCTGGCCGACTTCATGGAGAAAGAGGGACTCTTTATGATGAACTCTTTCTTCCAGAAGCGGCCCCACAGGAAGTGGACCTGGTCGAGCCCCGACGGTTCCACAAAAAATGAGATTGACTTCATTATGACGACCAGACCACAACTGTTCAGTGATGTCTCCGTGATCGCGAGGGTGAAAACTGGTAGCGATCACCGAATGGTTAGAGGCACACTGAACCTAAACGTTAAGTTGGAGAGGTCTCGTCTAATGAAGTCAACGCTCCGTCCCCCTCGTGCTCTGTTCCAAAGTCCCGAAACCTTTCAGCTCGAGTTACAAAACCGTTTTCAGTGCCTGGAAGACTGCAATGAAGTGGACGATATGAATGACAAGCTCGTGGAAACTGTCCATGCGGTCGGAGCTAAGTTCTGCAAGACCCGCCGCAGAAGAACACAAAAACTCTCCGATCACACTCTTAATCTCATGGCTGTTAGACGGGAGATGAAGCTACATACTTCAACAGACTTGACAGCATACAGGCATCTGAACAGACAGATCTCCAAATGCATGCGGCGGGACTTACGCAACTTCAATACAGCTCGTATTGAAGAAGCGATCGAGCGGAACCAAGGCTCCAAAGTCTTTGCCAGAGATCTGTCTGCCAGAAAGAGCCAACTGTCAAAGCTGAAGACAGAATGTGGCAGCATCGTTTCCGGGACACCTGAGATTTTGAGTGAGATTGAGAGGTTCTATGGGCAGCTGTACACATCATCGTTGGAGCCACACGCAAGTGTGAGTAACGATCCAAGAGCGAGTCTCATCCGACACTATTCCGAAGATATCCCGGATGTCAGTCTGAGCGAGATTAGAATGGCTCTCCAGCACCTTAAAAACGGTAAGGCCCCAGGCGAGGATGGAATTACAGCGGAGCTTCTGAAAGCGGGTGGAAGACCGGTACTTGAAGTCCTTCAGAAGCTCTTTAATTCCGTCCTCTATGGTGGCATTACACCGGAGGCGTGGAGCAGAAGTGCGGTGGTCTTGTTTTTCAAGAAAGGCGACAACGCTCTCTTGAAGAACTACAGACCGATTTCCCTTCTGAGCCGCGTCTACGTGCTGTTTTCGAGAGTCATTACGAATCGTCTCGCGCGCAGACTTGACGACTTCCAGCCTCCCGAACAAGCCGGTTTCCGAAAGGGCTTTAGCACCATAGACCACATACATACCCTTCGGCAAATTGTACAGAAGTCCGAAGAGTACAATTTGCCACTATGTCTGGCGTATGTGGACTATGAGAAAGCCTTTGATTCCGTCGAAATTTGGGCGGTGCTGCAGTCCCTTCAGCGGTGCCAAGTTGACTGTCGGTATATCGAAGTGTTGAAGTGCTTGTACAGTAGGGCTACGATGGCTATCCGAGTACAGAACCAGAGTACGAAACCTATCCAATTGCAGAGAGGTGTAAGACAGGGTGACGTCATATCCCCGAAACTCTTCACCGCTGCATTGGAAGACGTTTTCAAGCTTCTGGACTGGAAAGGATACGGTACAACATCAATGGCGAGTACATCACTCACCTTCGATTTGCCGACGATATAGTCCTTATGGCAGAATCGCTGGAGGACCTAAGCACTATGCTCAATGACCTCAATAGTGTTTCCCAACGGATAGGTCTTAAGATGAACATGGACAAAACAAAGATCATGTTTAATGTCCATGTCACACCTATGCCGGTAGTTGTTGGGAGCACTAAGCTCGAAGTTGTTGACGAGTATGTTTACCTGGGACAAATAGTCCGACTTAGTAAGTCCAACTTCGACCGAGAGGTCAATCGACGGATTCAACTCGGCTGGGCAGCGTTCGGGAAGCTACGACACATCTTCTCGTCAGACATACCTCAAAACCTTAAAACGAAATTGTACAACCAGTGCGTGTTGCCAGTGATGACTTACGGAACTGAGACGTGGTCCTTCACTGCTGGCCGGATGAGGAAGCTCAAGGTCGCTCAGCGAGTTATGGAGAGGGCTATGCTCGGAGTTTCTCTGCGTGATAAACTTAGGAATGAGGATATCCGCAGTAGAACCAGAGTAACCGACATAGCCCAACGGATTAGTAAGCTGAAGTGGCAGTGGGCCGGCCATATAGCTCGAAGAACTGATAACCGATGGGGAAGAAAGGTTCTCGAGTGGCAGCCTCGTACCGGTAGGCGAAGTGTAGGGCGTCCCCCCACGAGATGGAGTGACGACCTGGTAAGACATGCAGGAAGTCGATGGATGCAGGTGGCTCAGGACCGTGCTTTGTGGCATTCTTTGGGGGAGGCCTATGTTCAGCAGTGGACTTGTGAAGGGCTGTAATGATGATGATTATGTGTGATTAATGAGTTTCCACGATATTTCAAAAATTATAGAATTTTAAATATTAAATATTTTAAAATATTAAAGAATAGAAAGTCATAAAATATTTTATGCCAAAAGGGATATTACACTAAAGTTAGTGAAGCCCTCACAGCCCTCGCTATGCTAAAGATTGGGCTATGCTAAAGATTGGATTTAGATTGATTTTTGTATTTATCATAAGTTAACTATATGAACAACTCGTAAAGCATGACTTCTAAAGTTGGTAAACACTGCGGTTGTCTAATTACACAACTATTAAATGATTGAACCAAAAAGGAATGAAATAAAATAATTAATACATATAAAGTACTTATTATTTTTGACAAACATAGCATTTTGAGTTCGTCAAACGTTTTTGCTGAACAGAATGAAATTGATGGCTTAATATTAATGACGAGAAAATTTATTTTCTTATATACGCGTGCAAAAGCAAATGTAGTTTTGTGTATTAGGTTACATATACATTATTCGTTTTTTTTTCAGAAAATTTATCCGAGATAGTGCTACGCTTTTTACTGGAAACGTGGCATTTCATTTTAGTCCTCAGGGGTGAGAATTTCAATTCTGCATTTGTTTCGAAATATTCCGGAATTTTGAAATAAACAAACAAATAAACAGACAAAAATATTACCTTAAATTACATTACATTACATCACTATATTACTTCATTACTTCACAGAAATCTAAACAATAATATAATAATAGACTTTTAAATAACTACTAAAAAGTAAAAACTAAATTAGTGGCTACTCCAACAAACACATAAAAAGCAAATAATTTGTTCCAAGTTCCAACCGAGCGAACGAATCCGAAAAAAAAGAGAAAAAGAAATAGTTAAACAAATACCATGTGACCATACATCTTGTATTATTTGCCTCAGCCTGCGCCTCGCGCAATTCCTCCTGGTAAGCATTGACATATTACTTGATTGTGTTCTCTGTACATCATTAAATTTGTTATTTTAGAGTGTTTTTTTTTATAGAGTACACCATGCCGACGATACCGCGGAGAGGGAACGCGCGTCAGTTGGAACTCGTCGGGATGCTGGAATTTTTTACGGTGGGACGGGCCCGCCAACCCCTGCCACCACCGCCCTTTTGCAGTGAGATAAGGTATTTTTTTACGTGAGTTTTAAACGTGTTTCTCACTTGTAGGGCACGCAAAGGCGGAGGCAAGTCGTCCAACACCGCGACGCAGTGAATCTGAAGGAGCCCCGAAACGCCATGGTGCGATGTTTTGGTGTGGCAAAAACGTGGGTACACTCCCTCCTGGGGTATCTGCTGTGATCACGGGCCCACTCCAGCTTTGAGAAGAGGTATTTAGGTTTTCTTGTAGTGATGATAAAAGATTTAAGGGGTAAACGCGTACGCGGACACGCTCTTTCGTTCCCAGCTTTTGAAAATTGATTAAAACTGTTTAATGGTGTATTTTTGTTGTGTGTCGAAGTTTAAAGAGCTTTTTAAACCTCTCTGTTAATTATGGACGTATTTGCAAAGTAAAATATAGTCTAAATACAGTGGCAATTAGTGTGTATAATAAGTGTTGTGACGGTATTTGTGACTGATAAATAATCAAGTCTAACATATACCCGTCTACTCATGTATGAATATCGCGTACATCATATACAGGCGTAAAATTAAACACTTAGTCAACGCAACAAAGTGGCAGATTGGTTAAACTCTCTAAAATATTATCTTAGTAGTGCAAGATCAAACCTACAACGATTTTTTTTCTTTTTGTTTTATATTTCTCATTCTTTCTTTTTTTTTTTTGATGATACTTGACTACATTGAATTTTAATATTGTAGTTATATATTTCGCAATGCCGAACACTCCGATTTCAAGAGGTAAGCTGTCATGGGGTTGTTGTGATGGAGGATCTGCTCATGATGTATTCCTGCGTTGTACCAATTGTAAAAAAGTTTATCACAAATCTTGTCTAGCCTTACCTGAAAATATGGACATGACAGAGTCATCATATGGTTGGAAGTGTCCTTTATGTACAAGTAAGGCTCCGAAATCGGGGAAGGATGACAATACGCCAGTAAGGAACATTACTGTCAGAGGAAATAAAAAACAACCATGTTCCGCCCCATGCAAAAGCAGTGATACCCCAGTGACTACAGAGGAAGTAAAAGAAATAGTGCAGACTGTGATACAGAAGGAAATGGAGAGCCTTTACAATAAAATGAGTAAAAGTATACTAGACACATTGAATAAGCAACTAAAGGATGTAAGTGAAGAATTATCAAAAGTAAAGGAATCTATAGAGTTTATGAATGCTGAATTTGAAGAGTGTAACATGGAAAGTATAGCTATGAAAAAGAGTTATAAAGAGCTTCAGGATGAAAACTGCAAAGTAAAATCTGCTGTTCAAGAACTAACGATACGTGTCGTCAACCAACTGAAGCAAAGCGCACGATCATCAAATGCAAAAATCCAATGTGTTCCAGAAAGGAAGACGGAAAATGTCTTAAATATTGTTAAGGATATATGTAAGGTCATTAACTGCAACATAAGTGATGATAAAATTGTAAACTGTACACGCATTGCAAAAATAAATCGGAGCAGCCCCCGTCCACGTTCAATTATTGTTCAGTTTACAACACCTTTCATACGCGATCAGTTCTTGGCTTCAGCGATTAAGTTTAATAAAATAGATGTCTCCAACAAGCTAAATTCAACTCATCTCGGTATTCCCGGAAATAAGATTCCTATTTATATATTGGAGCATTTGTCTCCAGCTAACAAAGCTTTGCATGCAGCCGCCAGGATAAAAGCGAAAGAAAATAACTTTAAATACGTTTGGGTGAGGAATGGACGAATCTACATGAGAAAGGATGACAATTCCAAGTATCACCTCATCAAAAACATGAGTCTCCTGGAAAAATTAGTATAATCTTCTTAGTTATATATAGATCTAAGGATAATGTATGTTGAATATTTTTTTAATTTAAAATACAATAATTTACAGTTAAGTATTTACTACCAGAATGTGCGTGGTTTGCGAACAAAAACTCTAAATTTTTACCGTAAATTGTGCTATTTCGATTACGATATCATCATATTGTCTGAAACGTGGTTGAATGATACGATTATTAGTAATGAGCTATTTGGTAACAGATATGTAGTTTATAGAAGGGACAGGGAAACTACCGGTTTTCATTCAAATAAGGATGGTGGAGGAGTATTGATAGCTAGTAGAATCAAGTCAAAAAGAATTATTATGTGGGAAAGTAAATGTGAAGATCTTTGGGTTACTCTAGATTTGACAGACGGAAAGAACTATTTTCCAATTGCCCTTTGTGCTGTCTATATTCCCCCACCAATTCAGTCTAGAGTATTGGAATGTTTTCTTAGTAACTGTAATTCTTTGTTTGATAAATTGAAACAAAGGACTTGCATAGTTGGTGATTTTAACTTACGTGACGTTAATTGGAAACTCGTCAATGACTTGAATAGCAATTATACTGCTCCCTTTAAGGCTCGAAGTCTTATAGATTTCTGTTATATTAATAAATTACGACAGTACAATTTCGTCGAAAATAAAATGAGGAGAATTCTCGATTTAGTTCTAATAAATAGTTTACATTGCACTGTTAATGAGGCAAACGATATATTGACCATCATAGATCCTTTACATCCTCCGATTGAAATACAACTACTTATATCTGAAACACGAAAACTAAAATACAATTCTAATGTCAAAAAGCGCAATTTCTATAAAGCTGATTATGAAAAAATTCGTGAACACTTAAGTAAAATTAATTGGGATATGCTATTCATGGGGCTAAATGATATAAATAGTATTGTTTCAGTTTTTTACAAAATTGTAAATTTAGCAATAGAAAAATTTGTTCCATGGAGTACGATCAAAAGTGATAAATATCCCATTTGGTTTAGTCGAAGTCTGATTAACGTAATAAAGGAAAAAAATAAGGTGAGGTGTAGACACAAAAAATATAATAACGCAATGGATTTACTCAGCCTAAAGTTACTTAATAAGAGATGTGATAAATTAGCTAAGACCTGCTACAACGTTTATATAAAATCTATAGAAGATAATATTGTTACAAATTCAAAAGTTTTTTGGTCTTACATCAAAAATAAACGGCATGGCAATAGTAAGTTTCCGAGTGCAATGTCTAATGGTAGTGTGATGACAACAGATGCGACTGATATATGCAATCATTTTGCCTCACATTTCTCCTCAGTATACACCGTAGACAATCCAAATGGTCTTAATGAAAATGATTCAAATAACCAATATTTAACATATTTAGATAATAATAATTATCATTTTGGCACTTTGGTTTTGGATGAAAAATCAGTTTTAAAAAAATTAAAGGGCTTAGACCGAAAAAAAGGACCTGGTCCAGACTCTATTTCACCTTATTTAATCGCTGAATGTGCCATAGAACTGTCTACTCCTCTTTGTTTTATATATAACAAATCCTTACAAACAGGATGCTTTCCAGATATATGGAAGCTCGCAAAAGTTGTCCCTATACATAAAGCGGATGATGATACTTTAGTTAGCAATTATAGACCGATCTCAATATTATCAACCTTTCCCAAAATATTTGAATCATTAGTATGTCCCTATTTCCAAAATTATACAAAACAGTTTATTACAGCATGGATTTGTCAAATCTCGTTCGACTTGCTCTAATTTAGTTACGTTGTTGAAACGTTGGTGAAAACTGTAGACATGCAACAGCAAATAGATGTAATATATACCCATTTCAGTAAGGCTTTCGACCGAGTATCACATGTTATGCTTTTAAGAAAGTTAGAAACTTATGGTTTTTCTGACCCTATCCTCGCGTGGTTAAGGTCTTATCTAAAAGGTCGAAATTATTTTGTTGTTGTTAATGGATTCAGTTCTGACATATTTCCCATCACATCCGGAGTTCCCCAGGGATCACATTTGGGGCCAATTTTATTTAACATATTTGTTAACGATATTCCTAATTGTTTCTTACATTCCAATTGCTTTATGTATGCTGATGACTTAAAATTTTGTAAAATTGTTAATAAATCGTCAGATATGATACTTCTTCAGGAGGATTTAACTAGACTTTCTAAATGGTGTGATGTTTATGGAATGACTCTTAATCTAAAAAAATGTGCACATATTAAATTCACTCGCAAAAATAATATTTTCCCATCAGTTTATACCCTCAATGGTGTAGTTATCCAGGAAGTGGAAACAGTTAAGGACCTGGGTGTAGTATTTGATAAAAAGCTTACATTTATACCACAAATAGAAAATGTAATCAAAAGATCATCTCAAGCATTAGGTTTTGTTATAAGAAATAGTAAAGAATTCCGTAATGTTACCACAAAAAAACTTTTATACTTCTCAATTGTTAGAAGTATATTAGAATATTGTAGTACAGTCTGGCGTCCCCATTATTCTACCCATAACCTTCGCCTTGAGCGCGTACAAAAAAGATTTTTATGGCATCTTGCCTTTTCAACACGAAAAGCATATAAGAATGCATCATATGTAGATAGATTAAAGTCATTTAAAATGGTACCACTATCAAAACGCCGGGACATTCTGGATTTGCAACTTTTATATAAAATATTTAGAAATAACTTAGATTGCCCTTTATTACTACGTAAATTTAATTTTCGTATCCCAAGTAGATATCCTCGTAAATTCATTACTCCTCTTTCGCCGCCTCTTCGTATAACTGTACTAGGATTTAATTCCCCAATATCCAGACTTTCCAGACTTTTAAATACCTATAATAATGTAGTAGATATTCACCACGACTCTTTTAATGATTTTTGGCACATAATTTATCAAAATATTAATGTTTCTTTGTAAAAAAAAAAAGATTTTTATGTATTAATTTTATAATTTTGTTTATTTTCTTTTATTTTAAGTTTGTATCGTATATTTTTAGCTATTTGGTAACGGCTTGTAGGAGATGCTGTAAACACTAAGCATGCGGTGTTCACCTATTATTGAATGTGCACTTAGTTTATATTACTATATTAGAATTAAGCATATATATCAGTGTAACATTTGTTGGTGAACCAAATAAATAAATAAATAAATAAATGACTCCGAATATCATAGTAGTAAAATGCAATCTTCTGCGTGCCTCCATCCTAAGCATGTTTGCGTCATTGAGATATGGAGTAACATGTGATCGAGGTGGAATTGTAAAACAGAAACACGCACATGCATTTCGCACTCTCTAAATAAGTCTGGACGTTCTTGATAAGAGGCATGGACCATATATTGAGTCACAGTAATTAAACCTGCTAACGACCAAAGACTCGCAGAGGGTAATTCTCAATCTCTCACTCAGGTAGGGTCTCAATTTATAAATGAGTTTCAGCCGTTAAAAACTATTTCTAACACAATCCGCTATATATTTTTCGAATTTTAAGTTGCAATCGATGACAAGTCCTAGATTTCTGGCTGTATCAACCCTTGTAATAATAATAATAATAATAATAGCTGGCGCTGGACGCGGCAGCATGCGAACCGCCAGTCGACCGCGAGGTGCTACACGACCACCCAGCAGTCCCTCGCATCCATCATCCCCACCAGCTGGCTTGGTGTTGGCAGGGTCTTCGTTGGCCCAGAAATCAGCACCCACCACAGGTGGAGTACGCCGCATGCGTTGGTCAATGCAAATGAACAAAAATGCATTGCGGGCGTATTTTGGGGCGAGAGGTGGAGAAATAGATATACCGAGAGGTCGACACGGTTCAACCAGGATCGTTTCTTCCAGAGTGATCAGAAGAGGCTCTATGAATTATTGGAGCGACCAATGGTACGTGGAACGGGCCCAGCACCGAATCAGGCCGACTCTATCGCATTCTGGCGCGGCCTGTGGTCAGAGCCCGTAAACCACAGCGAGGGCCGTTGGACGGAAGTTGTGGCGAGTCAGTGTGCGAATGTTACGCCCATGGACCTCGTCATCATTACGCCGGATGACGTAGCTGAGGCGGTCCGTAGGGCCCCGAACTGGAAAAGTCCGGGACTCGACGGACTGCATCACTACTGGCTGAAGGGGTTCGTGGTGTGTCACGCTGTTCTCGCCCGACAGTTTCAAGAGGCTCTCGACCAAAAGTCGCTCCCGTGCCTCTTCACTACTGGGATCACTCATTTGGTTCCTAAAGACCAGGATTCCACAGACCCGCGCAAATACCGCCACATAACGTGTCTACCTACCATATACAAGACACTAACATCCATTTTGAGCGCGAGAATCACTCGTCACCTGAACTCAAATCAGGTGATGTCGCGCGCTACAAAAGGATGTCGGGGCGGCGGTCGTGGAACCAAGGAACCACTCCTCATTGACGCGGTCATTGGCAAGGTGGTTAAACGCAACCGTCGGAACCTCTCCGCCGCCTGGATAGACTACAAAAAGGCATTCGACTCGGTGCCTCATACATGGCCTAAGAGGGTCCTCGAGCTGTACATGGTTGACTGTACAGTTCCAGACTTCTTTGGGCAGTGTATGGGGCAGTGGAGTACGATCTTTTGTCATCTAGGCGAGCGGATGATGGCTGCGGAGAACCACATAAGGATAAGAAGGGGTATCTTCCAGGGCGATTGTTTGAGTCCAATCTGGTTCTGCCTCTCTCTGAACCCTCTTAGTACCTTACTGGAGGGTTCCGGGAGGGGATTTCAGCTTCGGAGAGGAGATACAAATGTGACCCACCTTTTCTATATGGATGATCTCAAGTTATTCGCCTCCAGTCGCTCTCATCTTATGGAATTGCTAAACATTACTTGTGATTTTAGCAATTCTATTAGAATGGAGCTGGAGACGGATAAGTGTGCGGTCCTCCATATTGAAACAGGTAGGGTTGCTAACTCTGAGGGCATGGACTTATCTATGCCCATCAACATAAAGACCCTAT